TTCGGCCCCCCCCCCCCCCGCATCCCGTGGGTGCCGGTCACGCGTGGGCAGGCCCAGGGGGGAGGGGGTTTCCAGAGCAGATCTGGTCTCAAGCCCTTGGGGGACAGAGAGAGATGGGATTTAAGGGGTTTAATCACCATGGCACTGCTGCTGGCCGGGGCAGGCTGCTGGGACTGAGACACCCCAAATCTCCCCTCCCCTGACCTCTCCTGCTTGGCCCGTCTCTGCTTCCAGCCGCTGCTACATCAACCCGCCACCCAGAGAGCAACAGAGTCCAGCCCAGCCCCTGCTGCAGGGTCCCCAGCGTGGTGAAGAGACCATGGGGACAGCAGCTGGGTGCACTGAGAACCAAGTGCCGCTGCAGGAGTGCTGCAGTGTTGATTCCTCTGGGCACCCGAAGACGGGAGGGAAGCCAGGTAAGGGGGTGGCACTGCCTGGGACCGGAGAGACACCGAGTGGGTGAGGGGGGACCAGACTGTCAGTGGCAGCAGCAACTGCCCACAAATGTCACACAGTGATCCCCCCGACTATCAGCTGTGGGCAGCAGGGGCTGGATCCCTCCAGGGCCCAATCCCTGGCTGCCAGTGGCTGGCTGGCACACGCGGCACTGGGCATGTGGCTGGGCAGGGAACGTTTGGGCTGGTGTGTCAGACCCCCTCTAACAGGCCTTTGTTTCAGAGTCTTGCAGTAAGTGCAATAAAAGTGCCGTCTCCCTGGGAGTTGTTGCCGGAGTCGTGGTGATCTTTTGTCTCCTCATCACTGTTATTGTCCAGGCAGGTGAGTTCTCAGCCTTCCCCATCCCCTCTCTGCACATCCCTCTTCCCTCCCACCGCCCGAAGCTGCCACTGTCACAGCGTCTCCTCCTGGCCTGTCTGGCACCTGCCCCTGGGACAGAGGCTTCCTGAGGGATGCTCCTCCCAGAGCCACCTCCTGCTACCTCCCAGGCCCTGCCCTGGGCACTCACTGTGGGATGAGGGACTGACTGACTGACTGACATTAGCCCCCCACAACCCATCTCTGAACACATGGGGTCTCAGTGACTATCGTTGGGTCCCAAACACAGTCACTGACACCCGGGGGGAGATGGAAGAGAGGGAGGGGAAAGGGAAGGAGAGCATGGCAGGCAGGTGATTGACAGGAGGGGAATACAGCAGTGAACTGGGCCCTATGCCTGCAGCCTGTCGTCCTGAGGTACCAGCCTGGCCTGCTTGTGTCCCTCGTTCCAGCCAGTTCCCAGCTTCCCAAACTAGAACCCCGGGGCTGTATTGTCTTGCCCTGGACAGATGCCTAAAATCACCATCGGTTTGTAAACTTGAAAGGGTTTGAATCAAACAGTGCTTCTCCCTGGAGGATGGCAGAGTAACTTAATACACAGTCTGGAATTCTTCTCTCCAGTCTAGGGCCACCTCAGTTGTTCAGTCTTTTACATCCAGATGTGTTTCCAACTGTTGAGGCCAAGTGGAGATGTCACTTCCCCTCCTTTATAGCGTCTTCCAGATTGCTGGGAAGATCCTTTGCTATGACTGAGTCAAGTGGTCTCCATTTACATGCTCGTTCTGAGAAGTCTCTATCGTATACGGTTCCTGGACTATGGGCCATAAACAGCATCCAACTGCTCTGCTGTTGTACCTGAAAGTCTGGCTGGCGGTGTTTCTAACCTCACACCATATTTCAGTAACACATGCCCAGGAAAACTCATGTTCCCGTCTACGGCTACGTCTATACTTCAGGCTTTTTGCACAAGAACGGCTGTTCATGCGCAGATACTTGCGGAGCATCTACGCTGCATGTGTGTTCTTGCACAAGTAAATTTACAGTACAGAGTCAGAAAAGAGGGCTTTTTGCACAAGAACGGCTGTTCATGCGCAGATACTTGCGGAGCATCTACGCTGCATGTGTGTTCTTGCACAAGTAAATTTACAGTACAGAGTCAGAAAAGAGGGCTTTTTGCACAAGAGTTTTTCCTCTCCCCACGAAGAATAAGTTCTCTTGCACAAGAGGGTAGTGTGGACGGGCAACAGGGGTTTCTTGTATAAGAAACCTCTATGGCTAAAATGGCCAGCAGAGCTTTCTTGCACAAGAGAGTGTCCACACTGCCATGGACACTCTTGTGCAAAAGCATATGGCAGTGTGGACGCACTCTTGCACAAGAACTCTTGTGCAAAACAGTTCTTGCGCAAAAAGCCTGCAGTGTAGACATAGCCTAAATGTTCTGTTAGTCTGTAAAGTGTTACTAGACTATTTGTTATTTAAGCTTTTCTGTGAAACCTGTGATGCAAATCACACACTGAGCAGTACCAGGAAGCATTGTCTGCAGTGCCTGTCCTGCTGTGTTCAGTGTTTGATCACTAGTGCATATAGCACCCTGCACTATGAAATCTCCAGGGATATACATGCCTGGTGCACAATCCAGCACCCCTGCTGTGGCTGCTAATGTTCTCCCAAACAAAGTGTTCCAATCCCAGCCCCAAAAGAAGGCTTAAAAACCAGCAACAGACTTGTTAGGATACAAAATGAGGAACAAAAAAAGTAACGTGCACAAAAATGGCGGGAGGGTGTAACCTGGTGTGGCTGAGGTAGCCCTCACTAGAATTGCCAGGATCAGGGCACACTGCAAAAGGGAAAGCAAATATTCCCAAGACTGGTGGGAAACACTGAAGTTAAATTTCAGAGTGGTAGCCATGTTAATCTGTTTCAGCACTAACAACAAGGAATCCAGTAGCACCTTAAAGACTTACAAATGCCCCAATAAATGTGTTAGTCTTTAAGGTTCCATAGGACTCCTTGTTTTTACTGAAGTCAAACTTCCCAGTTACCCACAAATGTGCTGCTTATTCTCCCACACGGTTTCTCAAGAAGCAGAAAAATCATGCAGCCCCCTTTATTGTATTCCAGTTCTCTGGTTCCAATCAGAACGTAGCTTCAATTCAGTTATTTGAAGTTATTTGAAATTCTGCTTGCATGTACAAAATGTTCTTCTGGCCCCAAAGGACCAGCCCCATTACCATGTCAGGGTAGGTTTGGATCTTAGCCAAAATACCCCACTGCCAGCTAATCTTTTAGGCCAGTGTTTCCCAATTGGTGCTCCAGCGAACCCTGGGGATCCGTGAAGCGAAAGCAAGGGTTCCGCGAAGAGCCGGCACTCCCCTGCCCCCTGTTAGAGACAGAGTCATGGCGAGGTTTTTTTTTTCCTCTTTTTTTGCTCAACGAAACGTGGCAGGGGCCTTTTTTTTTTTTTTAAGGCAACTCTAGGGGTTCCGTGGCCAAATAAAACTGGGAAACACGGTTTTAGGCTATGTCTACACTGGTGGGTTCTTGCGCAAGAACATGTGCACAAGAGTTCCTGGGCAAGAAGTCTTGCACAAGAAAACGTCCACACTGCCATGTGCCAGCTGTGGTTTTGCGCAAGAGCATCCACAGCAATGTGGACTCTCTCTTCCGCAAGAAAGATCTGATGGCCATTTTAGCCATAGGGCTTTCTTGTGCAAGAAGCCCCTGCCGTGCATCCACACTGCCCTCTTGTGCTTACACTTGTCAGAAAAGAGTGTAGCTCTTGCGCAAGAAGCCCTCTCTTCCCATTCTTTACTATAAATCTTCTTGCACAAGAGCGGGCGGGCAGTGTGGACGCTCTGCGGAAGAACGGATGTTCTTGCACAAGAACACGCCAGTGTAGATGTAGCCTTAGTGTCTAAAACAGAAGGTTTATAATAAGCAAGAACAAGGAGATGTTACATGGTAAAGTGGTCACATACATACAAAGACTTCAAAGTCCATGAAGTTCCCAGCAATATGGGTGAGAGAGGTGGTTTGAAGGTCCCTCTGGAACGAATCATCTGCTTAGATGGGTCATTTCTGGCCAATGGGGTAGAAGTTGGCCACTGATGCATTAATTATCCTCTCCCTGCTGGTGCACTGATAATTGCCCATCCTTCTGTAGCTCTCTGCCCACCTCTGTTTGTAGCACTGAGCTCTCTATGCTGGGCTTTCTGGTGTGAACTGTTTGTGGAGTGAGACCAGGGGTAAGTAAAGCTCCTCTCTGGCTGGATTCCCAGGATCCTCTTGGTTCCCTGCCAGGAGTTGAGGTGTCTCAGAAGCCGGGGGTGCTGGGGCCAATTTCTCTATGTCCCCCTCGTGGCTGGGCGGCAGGTCTCACTCACACCACATGTTACTGTCTCATTCTCAGTGCCGAGAGCTATGCCTCCCTCAGCTGTTCTGGGCTCCCCTGTTTTGCTCTGCTGCCCACACGGCTGGGTCGGCTACAAGGGGAAATGCTACTATTTCTCCGAGGGCGAAGGGAACTGGACCGACAGCTGGAGCCACTGCTCTGCCCTGGGGGCCTCCCTGGCTGGGATCAACACCCTGCAGGAAATGGTGAGAGACTGTGATTGCCATACACTAGCCTGGGCTCAGCTGCTACAACAAGGCCTGGGCTCTGCCCTGCGGGCGGGGAGCAGCTCGGAGCCCAGAGCCAATGGACTTTCCAGCTGCTGCTTGCCCGGCTGGACTGGGCCCAGGGCCCCTCTGGTGTCAGGTGTAACCCTGGGGATCACCCCTTCTCCCCCCACACTCCCCTCTAGGCTGAGCTGGCTCAGGCAGCTCTTGGCCTGTTGAGCTGCATTCAGGGGGACTGAGAACTCAGTTCAACACAGCCACTGCGGCTCCTCTCTAGAGCAAAGAGCAGCCAGCTGAGGAGAGGAGTTTTCATTGGGGCCCTGGCCTCACCTGATTGAAAAGGGGGGGTGTCTATTCTCAGTCCTGCCTCCCCCCCCCATGCAGATTGTGTGTCACTCTCCTTCCCCAGGAAGGGCTGGAGGGAGCCCAGCTGCCCTGTCAGGTGAGGGGTTCACACAGAGCCTGGCCTGGACTGGGGGTTGAGGGAGCTTGGACCCAGCAATTCCCAAGAGCGGCCCCAGCCCTGGGGGGGTTAGGGTTGGGGGAGCTGGGTTTGGCGGGGAAGGGTTAATACTGAATTACCCAGAGCTGGGCAAGGGGAAGAGGCAAATTCCCAGTCCCCCCCGGGAACACTCAGAGCCTTTCTGTGCGCCCCTGGGATTCCCTGTGCAGAGCTGGGGAGCAGCAGGGTCTGGCCCTGACACCCCCTCCCCCTCCACTGCTCTAGGCTTTCATGCACCGCTACAAAGGCAAACCTGATCACTGGATCGGCCTCCAGCGGGACCCGGAGCAGCCCTGGAAATGGGCCAATGGCTCCAAATTCAACAACCTGTGAGTCTCTCCCTCCCCTTGTGTGAGTTCCCTGGGATCTGGGTCTCTGGTGTGTGAGATGCCGAGTTCAGGCCGAGCTGCCAGCCAGTGGTGTAGGAGCAGCCAGAGCGCGCTCGGTCGTGTGTGTTAGTGGTGGGTGCGGGCTGGTGTCTGCCTGGGACTTCTCCTCATAGGGTGGTGCTGGGCCTGAGCTACCAGCCCTTGGGCTACTGACCTGAAACCTTCCCCACCCAGGGCAGTTTGGGTGGGTTGTTTAGGTAGGTTGGACCTGCTGGGTCCCAACCAAACCTGGCTGAATGTCAGGGGGAGCAGGAACTAAAATATCTCTCTGGCATAAAGGCACCAAGGAAGTGAGTTGATCTTGGAGCCTCACCTGGCCTTGCTCTGTCCCCTTTATGACTGTCCCTCTCCACTGGGGGTGTGCATGTCTGGTGCTGGTGCAGGCAGGAAAACCATGAGGGGTTGTGAATGCGGCAGCTCCCTGCCCTGTGTGAGTGTCGCCCCCTGTCTGTGACCGACGGGAAACACCCAGCTCCTGCCTGACCCTGCTCCCTGGCTTCTGCCCTGCAGGTTTGGGATCCGAGGAGGAGGTGACTGTGCGTATCTGAACGACGAGAGCGGGGTCAGCAGCTCGAGGTGCACCAATGAGAGGCGCTGGATCTGCACCAAACCCGATGCTTTTCCAACATCTGAGCCAAGAGCCACGACGCCAGCCTCAGCCTTCTAACATGATGGGGGCTTGTTAGGACAGTGAAACCTTTTCATTGTCCAAATAGGTGTCCTGTCTGGAACCTATTAAATATTCCGACGTGCTGCTCAGATTGTTATGGGCTGGGTTAGAGCTGCCTGGTGAACCTTCTTGCTTCCCTTCAGGGAAGGTTTTAGCAAGAATGTTTGTGGGTCACTTTTTGGAAACCCAACTGGCGTTTAACTCAGGGTCACCCTCCCCCTGCCCCCAATGTCTCATTTTATTGCCAGATGCTGCTTGAGCTCTGCACCTGCCAGGGGAGTAGAATCCCATCTGGTGGGGGGGAGGGAGGTTCTCCCCACCCCTTCCCTGGCCAGCAGGGCCTCCCCTGACCCAACCACCAGGGGCCCCAACCCTCTTTACCCCCACAGCTGCCAGTGGCCTTTTCTCTCCCCCTCTAGCACTGTGGCCAAAGGCTGGGGGCTGAAAAGGATTTGGGGTACGGTGCTATTTACTTGGTCTGGAGGCTGCTAGCCACTCCCAGGAGTGGTGTGGCTGCCCCCAGTAGTCACTCTGTAGTATAAGTCTCTCTTGCACTCGCTGCCCCCAATGGTCACTCTCGGTATCATGTCTGTGCCCCTCCCTTTCCATGTTATGGAAAACAGTCCTCTTCCCGGCACTTGCTCTTTCCTTGGCGCAACCAAATCCCGACCTTGATTTAAGTTAGGAGCAAAGGAAGCTGCATAACAAATTTGGTGGTCCCAGTTCTTACTGTTTAGGAGGAGTTCTTGAACAAATGGACTTGCAGACAGATGTACAGATCTCTAAATAGATGTATTTCCCTGTTGTAACATTGTAAATAACTGTTTTTAATAAATTTGTATATAATTAGATTGGCTAGACACGCTGTCTTTTTGTGTGAGAGCTAAGGTGCCGTTCCCCTGGGGTAAGTGGACCTGTTGGGATGGGGCGTCACTTGAACGCGGCTGTGATTCTCACTGTAAGGGACCCTCTATCACAAAGGCAGCCTTGCCTGTTTGGTGATACAGACTGGAGCGCTCGAGGGGCTGGTCTGTGACACCATGACAAATACCAGAGGGGTAGGCGTGTTAGTCTGTATCTGCAAAACAAAGGACCCCTGTGGCACCGTTAGGACAACCGTTTTTATTCGAGCATCAGCTTTCATGGACAAAGATGCACTTCATCAGATGCATGGGGTGGGAATTGCAGAGGCAGACATAAATATACTAGCACATGAAAAGAAGGGAGTTACCTTACCAAATGTAGGATAAGTACTAACTAGGCCAATCCAGTGAGGGTGGATGTGTCCCCACTCCCAACTGCTGAAGAGGAGGAAACCTGCTGCTAATCTCGTCTGAACTTACTCTTGATCACGTGAGACCCATTTGTTGTATCTAGACTATCCTTTAGCTAGAAGAGCTGTTCACACTTCCAATTGTTGAATAATCCCCCACCCCACTGTATTTATGGAGCGCTGTCAGATCTCTTCTCAGCCTTCATTTTGTTAGACTAAACCAGCCATGTTTTTCCAGTCTCCAAACGAGCCCTTCTTCACATGCTTCATAGAAATACACTTATAATATTAACATGGCATAAGGAAAATGTATTTTACGCAAGAGAGGTCTCTTGAGTTATCATTAGGTAATCAGAAACAGAAATGACACAGGTGTACAAATTAGAAAGGTTATGGTTTACTGAATGTGGAGTTAGAAATATTGACTACAAGCAGCTTTCTCCAGTGTTGCTTGGGTCCTTAACTCAATTAAGGTTTTGGGTGGTTTTTTTTTTTTTTAAATAAAGGGAAAATGTGCATGCTTTATTTAAATCATGATATTTTTCAAAAATACCAGTTTCATAACACTCCTGAACCCCCAGCACCCGAACCTTAAACCTATCATACCACTGAACCTCCTTCCCTGCGCCCCCTTACTCCCACATCCCCAAACTCCTGCACCCACAGTCCCCTGCCATAACATGCCTGCACCCCCCCACATCCAAAACCTGTGCCCATCTGTAATGGACCAGGCCAGGGCTGGGCACGCTGAGAGTGTCTGCTCCGGGCGAATTGCTCAAAATCAAGGTTCCTTACAGCCCCTGACTGGAGGCCCTTCCCAAATAGGCTACAAACCAGACACACCGAGTGCTTCAGCTGCCAATCCTGCCAGCAGGAAGCTTCAGAGCAAAACCCCTCAGACATCCCAGCTCTCCCTGTTCCACAATCAGCCCCGGGCCTAACCCATGGATGAGGGGTTATAATTATAGATCCCAATCTCACCTACCCCGAACGCAGAGCCGGCCTGAGTCATTTTGGTGCCCTTGCTCTTGCGCAAGAGGGCTGTGTGGACGCTCGGCAGGGATTTCTTGTGCAAGAAAGCCCTATAGCTAAAATGGCCACCAGAGCTTTCTTGCGCAAGAGAGTGTCCACACTGCCATGGGTGCTCTTGCACAAAACCACAGCATGCACATGGCAGAGTGGATGTTTTCTTGCGCAAGACTTCTTGCACAAGAACCCTTGCACAAGACACAACATAAAGGTTTATTAATAAAAGAAAAAAAAGGTGGAGAGAAAGGCTTTTAAGGAGAATACATTATATGCACCAATCACCAGGTTCTTGGTGCAGTTTCTCAGCAGAGATGTTATAAACTGCTAGCTTAAAAGTCTCTGGTGTGCATCCTTTGTCAGGATGGGTCAGTGACCCTTCCCAGCTCTCTGTCCCTTGCAAAGCTGCATCTGGGGTCAGTGGCAGAATTGTAAGAGATGGAGACCACCTCATGGCCTTATATATCCATGCCTGGTCTCCCAAGTCAGAGTGGTCACATGGTCAAGTGACCTGTCTGTGTTTCACATGCTGGCAGCCATTATGCCATGGCTGGTTTTCATGTTTCCAGACGCATTCCTCAGGTGTGTATTGGGCACCTTGAGAGCCATTGTCCTTAGGACTGTGCTAATTAACAGTCATTAATTGGACAATCCCCCTTTACAACAGGCAGTGCAGGCCAGTATCAGCACGGAGTCCATATTCATAACTCCACATATAGGCATCACACAAGTACATGAGTAGCAAACACAGAATCAGTAGAACATAAGCTTTTATTTGACACCTCACATGCCCCCCCCCATGGGTGCAGCAGTGATCTGGCTGCTCCCCTTAAAATCCAGTAACGGGATATCATCATACACCTGAAGCTCCTTCCATGAGTCCCTCATATGCCTACATCCCCAAACTCCTGCACCCCACATCCCCAGCCCTCTGCCATAAAGTTGACAGATGACATCTGAATTTGGATGTTGTTTGGGTCTGTGGTTTGAAAAAGTTGCCGGCCCCTGGTTTATATCACGGCAGCTTCTTTCTGGCAGATCCATTTGAACTCAGCGTCACACGTCTCCCACTGAATCCGGCTGCCTTTTATACTCCCACAGCTGCTGTCAGCAGCAGAGCTTGAGATGGGGAAGCTACAAAATTAAAGACAGTGTCAGTGTGGTTCCCTGCAACAAGGAAAGGCCTAAAGGTGGGTCTCTCTTCCCCCGGCTCTGTGGGAAAGCTTGGCTCTGTTGTCCTTTGTCTCTGTCACCTCCCTGCAGAGCTGCAGGTGGGAAGACAGCCCAAGAGATGAGATGAGTTTGGGAGGTCTCTGGCAAGGTGCAATCTAGGTGGAATCTCACCAGGCTGGTGCTTTAGTGTTTGTTCATTGGAAGTGGCCACCCTGAGCGTCTACATCTCGACTTTTCTTTTAAAAACCCTCCTCCCCCCATCCCCCCAACACTGGAAGCAGAAAAACTGAGACCCTAGGCACCTAAACATGCTTGTGAGTCACAGTGTTAGTGTCATGGTGTCTCAGTTTTTCCACCTGTAGCATGGGGCTAATAGCTCTGTCCTGCATGGGAGTGTGAAGTGCTCAGATACTATAGAAATGGGGGCCAGATCAGCATCCTTCATCTTGTCTACACTAGGAGGTGTTTTGGTGCTGCTACAGTGGGAACCCTCTAGTGTAGACACAGTTACTGCCATAGCTATGTGCTTCTACCGCTACAGCTTATACCAGTGCCCCTGAACCGCGTACGCTACCCTGCTCGGAGCACACGTCTGTTGGTAGAACTGCAGTGACGTTAGGGCCTTTGCTGGCACAGCAACAATGCCCTTCTCTGACATAGCTACTCAGGCCAGCCTTTTACATTTAGACAGACGCTGGGCATGTAACATCAGCAAATTACACACTAGCGCTTGCCCCAAACTTCTCAAGCTGGAAACAGGCAGCACTCACCGCGCTGGGTCTAACCGGGAGCTGTCCGTCCAGGTCCATTTCTCCCTGGGGGGTGTCACTTTAAGTCCAACCCAGACAGAGTTTGCAACTTGTGTAACATTCTGTATGGCGTCCTGTGAGCGGCAAGCAGAGGGGGAGGGGGAATTTGCTGTAACATGCTCAGATTCTCTTAGTGCGCCCGTTAAATGCCTGTTCTTGGCTTCCCTGGCTCTGCCCATAGTCCCAGCAGAACTTACTGGTACCTGAGCTAACTCGCCCTTTAAGGGCACCCTGGGTTCAGCTTCACCTGTGACTAAGTGCCCCTGGATGGAGAAGTTCAGGTGAAAGAGGCAGGTGACGGGAGGGGCTGCAAGAGCAGTCTGAGATCAGTCAGGGCAGAGTGAGATCTGCAGGGTGTGTAAGGAGCCCTGCTGAGCTCTCCGGCAGGGCTCAGGGTACAAAACTGCAGGAGCCAGCTGGGCAGTGTGAGGCGGGCAGCGGTGGGGTTCTGGTTCCAAGCCATGTGCCCATCAGCCAGGTGCTCAGCAGGGGAGAAACCCCCACCCGCCCCGGTGTGGAGTTTGGTCAACTGGGGGAACAGGAGACATGGCGAAGGAGCATGGGCAACAGGTGAACCCCCATTCTGGCCCTGCCTCTTCTGCCCACGGCCCTGCCCCACACGTCAGAGTCCCGAAGGCCCCACCATTAAAAGAAAAGCCCCAAGGGGTCCCCCAGACCAGAGGAGCCCTGTTCTGCTTGCTCCAGCCATGGAGAGGTGTTTCTCACCTGGCCCCAAGCTGCTGTGGTGAGAGAGGGCTGGGGTTGTCCTCTCTCACCAGGGCAGCCTGCATCTCACCCCCTTATCTCCAGTCACAGCCCAGAGCGATGGTGTAAATGAAGGCAAAACAAAACTTATTTGAATTAAGGACCCGAGCAACGTCCTTCTAGAAGTTATAGTTATCTTCTAGTGCCCCTGTGCTGTGTTACCAGCTCCTCCTGGCTCTGGAGCACGAGCAGTCGCGAGCTCTTCCCCAAGCAGTCATCCCAGCTCTCAACCCAGTTTTTACTCCCTTTGGACAGCCAGTAGCACTGGTCCCCACGCAGCAGCCAGTCCCTGGGGCAGAGTTTGCACCCGGCATCCCCTGGAGGGAGAGATGGCAACAGAGGTGTCGTCAATTCAAAACATTCAAACTGCAGCTGGCTGAAAACTTTTGATCAAATCTGTTTTTAATGGAAAATGCCATTTGGACCAAAATTCAAGTATTTATTTTCTTTTTTTAACATTTTTTTGACAGGGAAGGGGACTCAAAATGGAAACACTGATTTTTTTGAGCAGTGAGGGAGGATTTCATTCTGTTGTGGAGAGTAAATCAATACTTACTCTTAACATTTCCCCCTGTTGGAAAAGAGGGGGAAGAATATTTTCTTCAAAGGACATCACATTTTTTTTCATGTTTCATGAGCTAGATTTGCAGTATATCAGCTGTAGTTCTGGATATTGCGGAAGTTTCCCCTAGAGCCGTGTAAAACTTTCAGAGTTAATGGTATTAACCAGAGCTTTTCTCAGGGGCCCGCATGTAAACAACAGGACACGCTGTAGTAAAGGAGTGATGGGAGCTGGGAGGCCAGAGAGGAGAGAATTCACTCAAAACCTGTACACAGAGTTGCTCTCTTGCTAAAGATCTTCTCTAAGGCTATGTCTAGACTGCAGGCTTCTTTCGAAAGAGGCTCTTTCGAAAGCATCTTTCGAAAGAGCCTCTTTCGAAAGATCGCGTCTAGACTGCAGGCGGATCTTTCGAAAGAGCAATCCGCTTTTTCGAAAGAGAGCACCCAGCGAGTCTGGATGCTCTCTTTCGAGGAAGCCCTATTTACATTGAAGAACGCCTTCTTTCGAAAGAGGAACTTTCGAAAGAAGGCGTTCTTCCTCGTGAAACGAGGTTTACCGCCATCGAAAGAAAAGCCGCGTTCTTTCGAAATTATTTCGAAAGAACGCGGCTTGAGTCTGGACGCAGGGGAAGTTTTTTCGGGAAAAGGCTACTTTTCCCGAAAAAACCCCTGAGTCTGGACACAGCCTAACTCAGTCACAAATTCTGGGTGCTAGGCAGGCATCTCTGGGTGGGATTGTCTCCGGATTGGTGCATTAACTATTGTTCAGTGAGGTTTGGTCACATCAGCTCAGAAAAACGGAACAGAGACAGGCTCAGCCTATACTCTGAATTCCTTTGGGTCTCCCATGTGGAAACAAATAATACTGATTACCAGCCTATGTCTAGATGGCAGGCTTCTTTTGGAAGAAGCTTTTCCAGAAGAGATCTTCCGGAAAAACTTCTTTCAAAAGAGACTGTCTACACAGCAAAAATCAACGAAAAAGCAATGTGCATCCACAAAGATAGCGTCCACATTCATTGGACGCTATTGTGCATTTCAGTTGTGATAACTATGGATGGAGTGGCCACCAGGGCACCTGTACTTCTTCCTGGAGGCCTTGTCTTTCAAAAAAAAACTACTTTCTTCCATGTCTACACATGCCCTTTTCGGAAAAGGCTTCTTCCTTATAGAATGAGGTTTACTGCCGTCGGAAAAAACCCTCCGTTCTTTCGACTTTCTGTCGATAGACTACAATAGCAGTGTGGACGTAAGTATTGTTTTTCAGGAAAAACAGCGGTTTTTCTGGAAAAACTCTGCAATGTAGACATACCCTGAGACTGGGATAGGACAAAGGCAGGACTGCACCCAGTGCCCCAGCCTAGCAGTAGGAGGTGCTACAACACTGCTACTGCCATGGTTCAGCTGAGATCTAAAAGCAAGGTCCTCAGGGATGATGAAGAACACAAGAGCTGTCATATTGGGTGAGACCATTGTTCATCTTGCTCAGTATCCTGTCTCTGAAAATGGTCCATACTGGAGTTTATGGAACAGGACAATTATGAAGCGATCCAACCAACTTTCTCTCCCAGCTTCGGGTAGTCGGAGGTTTTGCATCACACCAGTGATGGGGTTGCATCCCTGAGCATCTTCCCTCCCAGTCATTGATGGACTGATTTCTCTTTTGAGCCCAGTGACAGTTTTGGCCATCACAACATCCTATGGAATGAGTTCTACAGCTTGCCCCTCAGGAAAAGTTTTCTCTAATATATAGTAAGGATAAAGATTAAAACTGCTTGTGCGCTTAGCAATGGGAATTACTCTGACCATTAGGTGTCACTGTTGCTCCTCTGCACAAACAGCTGAGAATTCGTATTTATTTTACTTTGATTTGAAGCTCTTTGGGAACAGGGATGGTCTTTTATGATGTGTTCTTTGTACAGCTCCTGGCATAGCAGGGCCCTGACTTCTGATCCTTTTGGTTTGAACACAAACCAAAGTTTTTCCAGTTCAGACTAACTTGACTACCCTTCCGAAGCTTCTCAACAATAATCAGTAATTCACATTACAGTAGGGCAGAGAGGTCACAACCATTGGGTTAGGTGTTACATAGATGCACGAAGTAAGTCGAGCTCTGCCTCAAAGAGCTACCAATCCAAACACAGGATAAAACACACACGGAGATACACAAAGAGGAGCAAGACAGCAGGGAGAACGAAATGTACCTACTGGCACAGAAAAAGGCAGCCGCCGCATTTATCTGGCGCCCAGCAAATGAGACAGAGGAAAAGAGGAAATGTTGATTGACAAAAAGTTGCCTTTTTTCAACACAAAATTCTGACAGGACCCTTGTTTCATCTGAGGTTTTCTAGTTGTTGAATCAGCTTTCTGCGTCCTGAACACTTTGACTAAAAAAAAAGAAAATTGACTCCCATCATTTGCCAAAATGACAGTGAGAAGGGGGGTTATGTTACCAGGTGTCATGTTTTTATCAGGCGTCTCGTGAAATTTGGTATTTCCTTTTAAGCCCCAGCTCCTGGAGTCATGGGATTGTGGGAGACTCAGTTTCATTAAAGAAAGCTTTTAGCCTCATAATTAAAAAAAAAATTGACAGCACAACCCAGGTGCAACCAAAAGGCACAGAAACCAGAATTCAACTAGAAACAACCCAGGCGGTATACTTTTCCTAAAATAAACCAGCCTCAGGCTTGTTAGGGCCTCATTCATGGTTTTTGAATGCTTGGAGATCACAGCACTGGAGTAATGTTCACAAAGGGGTCTCAGTATGAATGTGAATTTGGTCTATTGTGTTTCAGGCTCAGGGTTCTTTTCTTATGGTGGCTGGTTTTCAGTCACAGCGATCGTGCTGCAAACTCTTTAAGGAAGAGTGACTCACAGCTCTGGGGCAGTAGGAGTGCGGTTACCTGCCAAGCTGCCATGTTGGGGTTCACATAGAATTGATTTCAAGCGGGACCGGAAATCCTCCAGGCTGGAGCTGCATTCAGTGCAATTGACGATTCTGCTTTCACTCTTCTCGGATGTATTCAGAGCCATCCTGGTCCGTCCTTCACAAGAGACACGCAACTGGGAAACTTCAAAAGAGCATCAGCATCAATGAAAAGCACTTCTATGGCAATGAAAAAAACCAACTATGCTGGGTGTAAAATCATCAGACAGTGTAATATCCATCACAGCTAGAGAGAGAACAGAGGAAGAGAGACTCCCGTTCACTATACAGTATAGAATGATGCATTTCTGTCTTCCCATCTACATGTAATAGTGAATCTGCTGTAGCTGCATCACACGAGTTTCATGCATCCGCCTCTTCACTGCAGGTTGATCCTGGAACATTTTCCCCTGGTGGCGAGGCAATGCCTGCAAGTTCATTCACAAACCAACTGGAATCGGGAAGGGAATGTCATTCAGATTTGGGGATGAGCAGAGAATTCATGGTGCAGCATCAAACCCAAATGGATAAATAGGTGGGCACTACTTACCCCAAACCCCCAGCACTATCACAGCTATTGTCAGGAAGAAGTTCCCTGCCCATCCGGCCCCCACAGCAACATGATGCCACCAGGGACATGGAGGAGAACCTATAAAAGACATTGTTTGGAGAAACACCCTAAGACCTCAGTGTGAGACATAACAATGAAACTTGTTTTTCTTTGGTGCCTATTGCAGCGTTCTGCCAAGGGACATCCACTCCTCTGCACATAACACTATGGGCAGCTTTAACAATGGCAGCCTCTTTCACTCGTTTTTTCCTCCCAGAAGCATCATCATGCCTTTTTCCACTTTATTATCTCTTATGCGTGGTTGGCCCTGCTTCAGATCCCTTCTTATGTTCCCTGGTAACATGACACCCACTGTAAACTGCCTAATAATAACAGCTAAGCAAGTGGCCTGCTAATGATACATTAATATAGGTTACTTCATTTTAAAACAGCCATGAAGCCTCCAAATTGTCAACCCACAGGGCCAGCTTGTGTTCCTGTGACCACCCGCTTTGGTCTCCCTCTCCCTTCCTCCGTGCTCTAACTTCTAAAGTCCCTGTTCTGTTTTGACACAATTTGACCTTATGTCACCAGGTGGTGCTGTTACACACAATCCGCTCAATTCCTTTCCTCAGTGTCTGAGCATTCTGAAGAAGACTTACCTTATTGCTCATTTTGTGGGACAGTTTCTTTGTGGGGGAGTTCTTGCATCAGTGTGGAAGTGTGCTTTCTGCCTTAATTTCCCTAACTAGAGTCACATCTTGGAGCAGCGTTGCTTCAGGGCTGAGATTCCTGTAAGGCTACATCTAGACCACAGGCTTCTTTTGGAAGAAGCTTTTCCGGAAGAGATCTTCCGACAAAACTTCTTCCGAAAGACAGCGTCCACACTGCCAAAGTGCATCGAAAAAGTGATCTGCTTTTTCAAAAGAGCGTATTCAGACTGAATGGACGCTCTCTTGCATGTAAGCTGTGATTGCTCATTGCTATGTGTGGAGTGGCCACCAGGGCACCTGTGCTTTTTCCTCTTTCCTCTTCTTTCGAAAGATCTCCCTCTTCCCCGTCCGCACATGCCTTTTCGCAAAAAGGTTTCTCCCTTGTAGAATGAGGATTATCAATGCCGGAAAACCCCTCTGTTCTTTCAATTGACTGTCAATTTACTATTGACAGAACACACTTGCAGTGTGGACGTAACTACAGTTTTTTTGGAAAAATGTCTGTTTTTCTGAAAAAAACTCTACAGTGCAGACATGGCCTAAGAGAGGTTTGTTTGTATTTGTGACCACTTCTGCTCCACCGTCTGGTGTAGACTGTGTAAATAAACACATTACCCCAAGGAAAATACCCATTGTGAAAACAGGCCAGGGTCCAATGTGTACTGAGGCTTTGTTTATACTTCTGGGAAGATCAATGCTCTGGAGATGGATTTTCCAGGGTTCGATTTAGTGGGTCTAGTAAAAACCCACTAAATGGAATGCTGAGGGAATCCCCATCAACCCTAGTGTTCCTAGGAGTTGTGGAGTGCAACTTCCCCCAAGCCCCAGTGTTCCTTGGAGTCGTGAGGAGAAAAGGGAAGTCAACGGGAGAGTTTCTCACAGCAAATTCCTGCAGTGGGGCTCCCCCAGAAATTTGGTTTAAGGTACATCGACTCCAGCTAGGCAATTCTCGTAGCAGAGTTGTGTATCTTAAGTTGAATTTCTGGCATAGGGTAGATGTGGTATTAGAATAAACACAGAGGTGACAATATTTGTGCCTGCACTTAACTTTAAGCATGTACGTGGTCTCATTGCCTTCAAAAGGATCATTTATGTGAGAAAAAAGTAAGTGTTTGCAGGGCCTTAGTTTGTAAATGATTCAGGTGAGAATTTCCATTAAAACTGTTTTTCAATAAAAAATTGGGGTTGGTTTGGGGTTTTTTGTTTGTTTGTTTTGTTTTTTGTGGGGTTTTTTTTTTTGCTTTTTGCAGGAGGTAATGCTGAAAATGGCAGTTTGCCCAGGCCTCCCACTGCTATTTCCATCTGATAAATAGGCTGTTGCCTCCTTTGATTGCTGATTTTTGTATTCAGTCTTCTGTGAAATCCACTAGTGAGTACTTGGCATTCACTCAAGGACCATACAGGTAGATTTATTATTCCCCTAATTACTATGGCTGCAACTTTCAAAGTAGCTTGGGGGAGCTTCCGTGTTGGCTGAAACTCCTTGGGCTTCTTTTAAAATCCCAGCTAGAATATTGTATTGCTTTGATATTTCCCCAAGAATTACGTTGTGAAATGAAACCAGTGAGCCCTAGTCTAGTCTCAGTTACTCAGGTGTGAGCTACACACAGAGCCATTCCTCTATTTGGCAGTGAGCATCCTGAGGGCTGGACACGGTTTGCCAGGGTTAGCCCCTGCAGGCCACTAGATGTTTCATTTACCTGCAGATGTGCTGGTAAATAAAGTGCCTGGCAGCCTGCCAAGAGCTAACCCTGACAAACCTGGTCGCTTGATGCCCACCCTTGCTCTAAGGTCGTGTTTCTTAACCCGGGGTGCACACCCCCCGGAGGTGCAAGATGCCCTTTCTGGGTGTGCGAGACATTCCAGATTTTTATGATATATCTGAGGTTTAAAGAACTGACCTACTTCAACGATTTTTAAATAGTGGTGCGAGAATGTATTTTGAGAATCAAAGGGGTGTAGGCTGCAGTAAGGTTAAGAACCACTTCTCTAAGGTAACATTCAGTAAGGTTAAGAACCACTGCTCTAAGGTAACATCCAAATTCACACAGAAGTGATGGTGCCATTACAATGGCTCAGTATCTTGATTTTCATAGAATCATGGAACACTAGAACTGGAAGGGACCTCGAGAGGTCATCAAGTCCCATAATCTTGGTAATCTTCTGTGGGTTTTTTTATTAACAAAAATCTAATTCACTCTACATTTTCAAATTATGTTCTCCAGGCCAGGGAAAGGGTTAGAAACTCACTTTTTGTTACAAATGGATGATACTCATAACATTTATCCTCACGGCAGGAGAGTTACATTTCTGCTTGTTGGAACCAGAATTAATTCTGAGTCAATGCAAAAACTATGGCCTTCTGTTCCTAAAAGTGGATCTTTGTGAGGTTTTTCATAGAGACCCCATTCAGTTCACTTCTGTGAACTTCAGAGAGCTAATTCTTCTGAAGTTCTGAGTGGACAAAACTATGGAAGGAATTTTTGAAAAGTGAAAAATATTGTCTGGTCTATCTATCCATTTTGAGTACCTAATACAGTGACCCCTAGAATCATAGACTCCTAGGACTGGAAGAGACCTCAGGAGTCATCCAGTTTAAACCCCTGCTCTTATCTAGAAACTCTTGGCACCACAACATAACACATTTCATATTACTTAATGTTGAATAGTAATAGAGAGGTAGTTGTGTTAGTCTGACCTTGCTGAAACAAAAGGGGAAAAAATTAGGTAGTCCTTTAAAAACTAGCAAGATAGTTTATTACGTGATGAGTTTTAAGTGGGTCTATCCCACAAAAGCTCATCACCTAATAAACTATCTTGTTAGTCTTTAAAGTGTTACATATTTTTTTCCCTTTTGTTTTAATGTTGAATAGTTAATGGTGGTGGTGGTGGTTGTGTTTTCTGTCCATATATTAAAAGCGCTTCTTAAATTGTGTTTAAAGTTTCTAAGGAAAATAACCTTGTAGTTTTGGACTAACAAATTATTTCAAGCTAAAAGGAGAAGGGTTTTTAGGAAAAAGAAATAGAAAGATTAAACTCCTCCTTATATTGGAATCCGTCTTCCACTTCTAATTCTGAAAAGTCAATACTGTGATGTCATGATTTTAACAACAGCGTGGGAGACCAGTTAATTTTAATTTCAGCCTTAGGCCTTGATTCTGAAAAGAGTTGAGCACAGTATAATTTGCAACATGTACATGTGGTTGCTTCAGCAAAATGGCTCACTGGAGGAAGTTAAACTTTTGCATCACCATCTGCAGAGTCAAGTCTGGGGACTTCCCACGCTACACACCAGCCACACGCATTTGGAGATTCAGGCCCTTAGTTGTAAGCAGGGGTTCCCACAGGCTCACCAGGCCCCTGGACAAGGTGAGTGGGTGGAAGGAACAGGGCTGGAGCAGCCAGCCTTCTGTGCCACCCTCAGCACCCCATGTGGCTATCTGGTAGCAATTTAAAGGGCCCTGGATCCTGGGTTAACTGCCCTTGGCCCTGCTTTCCACTCCTGTTGGCAGGCTTGATTGTAAGATTGAAAATACACTGTTTCCCAGGGTCATGGTGGATTCTCGATCACTGAATTTTAAAAGCAAGACTGGATGTTTTTTTCCTTGAAAGATTCTCTAGGAATTACGTTGGGCAAATTCTGTATAATATAGGACATCAGACTAGATGATCACAATGGTCCCTTCTGGCCTTGGACTCTATGAATTAAGGCCCCAGTCCTGCAGTGACATCCGTGTGGGTCGGCCCTTGTGCCCATTCACTTCAATGGGATTCTATACAGGTACAAACAAAGATCCACTCATCAGGATGAGATCCAATCACATTACAGGATTGGGGCTTAAGCGTCCAATCATTAACACAGTGCCAGGCTTCAACATAACACAATGATACAACTGCAGCTCAAGAAGTCATTTACAATCAAATTCAGCTCTTGGATACATTGGTGTAAATTTGGAGCAACTTCATTGATTTCTGTGGAGTGGCTCTGGATTTACACTGATGTAACAAGCAGAATCGAACTCTTTAATGTTTTAAGAGTATATCCAATCCTGTCTGAACATATCTAAAGTGCATGGATACAATTTCATGTTGGTTCACAACAAGAATTAAATGTAACTCGATAGCCACATATTATGCTAGGTTTTACTTTGATTTAAACAGATGCCAAAGCAAGATCTGTTGGAAACTATCAGCTCTTAATAAAATTCTATCAAGTACTTCTGTAGGAAGGCATTTCAGAAGCTGTACAATAGTTCAGTTATGCTCACAAGGTGTTAGTGTATGGCACATTTGTAAATATACTTAAAAAAGGAAAATTTAGGAGATGAAGAAAGCCAGAATAATTGCATAATTACATGTATAACTGCAAAT